CGCATCGCGTGGCATCGCTTGGACATGTGCATGTTTCTCGGCGAGGCCAGCGCCAGCAAATCTGGACCTGGAGCATCTTGCATCATCTGGTGAGAACTTGGCATCGCTCGGACGTGTGAATTTTTTCCCGGCGAGAACCATCGAGGACCATCCTGGACCATCGAGCAAAAAAAACACGCACGAAATCCAACAAAAACACGGGAAATGGACGTCCGAGCGACGGCAAGAGAACGCACGCGCGAAACCACAAAATGCACGGGGAATGGACGTCCAAGCGATGACACGATCGACGCCGCAGGGACGGGTGCACTCGTTAGCGGGGTCCTGTCGGCAGCGCGCGCAGGAGCCCGTGCGTTGTTTGGTTTCGTGCGGTTTTTGGGGTGGTCTTTTTCCACATGGTCCAAGATGCTCCAAGATGGTTCAGATTTAATGGCGTTGCCCTCGCCGCGAAACATGCACACGCCCGAGGGATGGCAAGATCGGCTCCACAAGGGCGTGCACACTTGGCAGAGGTTATTCTTACCTCTTTCTCCGAAGTGTCTGCTGTCGCCTACGTCGTCGACACGAATCGTGACGCTACCCGGGGGGGGGGGCGGCCGGGGCCGGTGACGGCAGCTACGGCGAAAAATGAAACAACAACGCTCTTCCCCCCTTCCCTGTCCTCCGCTCCCTGCCCGGTTTTGCTTGCTCCTCCTTTGGCGCTTTTGGCGCTCTCGGCGGTGTTTCTGACGGCGCGCGTTTGTCGCCGAAAGTAAACCTTTCGTTGAAGGCACTTGTTGGTCCTGCTGACATTTTCTTGGCCCCTCGTGATCTTAGAGACATGTTCGCCTTCAGTGATTTTGCCCGTCCGCGGCAGCAGCAGTTTTGGCCTTCTTCAGTGAGCTCTTTGTCGCCGTCCCGGGAGCGGTCCAGCGGGAGCACGAAGCGCCCAATCATCTAGGGCCGCCCTGTTTTCCGCTCTTTCCCCGCTTCTGCTCGCTCCTCCCCGCTTTCGCTCGTGGCCATTTTGGCTCAAGAGAGGTTGTGACTGAAGTGCGAGTTGGCTCAAGGCTCAAGTGAGGCTCAAGCCCCAAGCAGTGAACAAGCATCCCCTTGATTCGTTGCATCTGTGCCATGGCATGAGCCAAACAGCAATGGATTGAAACGTCGAGCAGCAAAGATGTTTTTTTTGGAAATGCGATGGCAATACAGACCGGACCCGTGACGCGAACGCAGAAAGTTCGCAGAAGTGATCGTAGAAAAGCTTGATCCGATTGCGAGTGACCAGTTGGATATAATGCGCCGGCTGGGTGAAATCCAGTCTCACACATTGCGCGCAGAAGTGCAGAACCATCAATGTTGTCAGCACCCTGTCCCAATGGAACCCATTGTAATAATGCAAGGGGCAACTTGGTATGTTGAGGTACCTAAAGTTAAGTACGTCGAGAAGGTTGTCGAAGTTCCCAAGGTTGTTATTGTGAAACAGATCGCAGAGCATACAGTTATCATGCCAAGCGCTCGTGGTAATGCCAGCAGTGGTGAAATGAGTCGAGATCACGCCCCTTCTTGTGAGGCGAGTCTCGTCTCTAATGAAGATAAAACGACCAACGAAGCGGAGGCCACAATTGACGGTCTAATCTCGAGTCTTCAGACAGAAACTGGTTTGTTCATCGATGTGAAGGACGAGACAAATTACATATATTTGGTATTGGATGCGTTTGAGGACCAAACTGTGGAATGTAAATCAACATTTCCCAATACAAGCCGTGCGAAGTTACCGGGGGTTGAAGTGGAGCAGCGTTATGAGTTCATGCATCGATATTGTCTCTGGCGGAGTGTATGCGACAAGTTTCACAATTGGACTGGAGACCCGCTGAGCAAGACAGACGAATTTTGGAATTGATATACAAATTGCACAAACCATGGCCGAGGTGATGGGTATCGCGCAAAAATATGGGAGGCAAGCGCGCCCGTTCTTGTTATCACGCTGCTGGAAGGATTGTACCGGTGGAGCCAATAGTACACACTCGAGATCGTAAGCTAATCATGTACTACGACGTCTGAATTTCGGCAGTCGGGCTCTCCCGCCGAGCTCTCAGAGGGCCGCCCCCCTCGGGGCGCATATCGGCGCCTGTCCTGTCCTGTCCTCCTCTGACATTTTTGCGGTGTCGGCATCTCGTGTGACGCTCCCGGCTTGCCGGGCGGTCTTTGGATTTGGGTTTTGTTGATTCTGTTAATCCTTGGGAGGCCATGCTGGGCCTGCGTACCGAATGCTGGCGTATGGGATCGCTGGGCGTGCGTAAGACGTGTACGCTGGCACTCTTAATTTTTCGAACATGCATAAACGAATTTAGAGCGGTCGTGTTGGGCACGGTCGTTTTGGGTATGTCAGAGCGAGTTTAGAGTGTGTTTTTGAGACAAGCAAAGGGAACCCAACTTCAGATGAACGACGCAAACCAAGAGCGGGTGTTTGCGTCGACATTGCCGCATAAGGTCGCGCGTCAGCGCCCTCGTCTCCAATGTAGCGTGTTGCGCCAGCGGCCCGCATAAGTCGCGGCGTGAGGTCGCTGCTGGCAGACGAACAACACCCCCCCTTACCTATAGGGGGACGGAGGGGGCCGTGGGTGCGTGTTGTCGGATGGGGGTCCTCGCTCGAACGCCCCCCCCCCCCCCCAGGGCCCGACAACCCGCACCCATACCCATAGCCAGTCCTCCTCTTTCGAAGAAGCGCATTCGAGGAGCTTGAGCAGGCTTTAATTCCGCAGTCTCGGAAACCAGGACTCGTGCCCCTGGTGAGCGTGCGGTGCCTCTTTCGAACCTCCCAACGGGTACGGATTGTTCATTTCTCATTCTTCGAAAATTCATTGTTTTTTTTGGGGCCAATATCCTTTCACTTTTAATTGTTCTATCCTGGGCATCTTCCTGGCCACTGATGGGCCACGAACAATTAGAAACGAGCACCATTAGAAATGAGCACGATTAGACATGAACGACGTGTACGGGTGTGTGTGTGTGTTGTTCACTCCTCAGCTGCAATCATCGCGCCTCGTAAGGAGCGCGCCTTTTCATCTAGGGTACCCGGGTGTCCTTGCCGCCTCTGCGGCCCGTTTTTTTGTCGTTTTCATTCGTCGCCCGCCGCACTTCCAAAAACCCGATTTCGGCCTCCAAGGGGCTTGCGTCCCCACCACCCGTCCTTGATACACGCGTTGACTGTGTGTCGTCTCGCGTGCAGGGGAGATCCGTGCCAAGAAACACCCTGCTTGCCTCCAGGGTGACTTGGCTTTCTGGGGTTTCGATGGTTTCGCTGTGGGAAGCGTGACGTTCCCACACCAACAATGAAGGGACAGGGTTGAGTTTCCGGTGGAAGTGGAAGGTTTCTTGTGGACTGGCCTCCACTTTAAGACCCATGTCTTCTCGTCGAACGGATGCACGTCGTGCGGCCCCCCTCTTCGGCAGGACAAGGTGCGCGGCGTCGCGTCGAACCTCGCCTCCAACGCCGAGCACTGGGAGCGGGTGGCACAGGCTCCCCACCCCCCCGGGGCTCCCGGCCTCTCGCTGGGGCGGAGGGGCCCTCCCTCCTCCTCCCTCCTCCTGCCTCCTCCTCCCTCCTCCTCCTTCTCCTCCCTCCTCCTTCCTCCTCCCTCCTCCTCCCTCCTCCTCCCTCCTTCTCCTCCTCGCCCTCCTCCTCCTCCACCTCCCTCCTCCTACAGCCACGGGTCGGGAGTATTTACGCCGTATTGAGTCAGGTCTCTAGCCTAAGGTTCTCAGCCGAGCTGAGAAGAACCAGAGGAGTGGGCACAAGCACCCCCAGTAGGTGCAAGCGGATTTTAATTATATCGCTACGCGATCAGGCAGAGTCTCCAGAGTCTCCCTCCTCCCTCCTCCTCCTCCTCGCCCTCCTCCTCCTCCTCCTCCTCCCTCCTCCTCTCTCCTCCTACATCTTCCTTCTCCTCCTCCTCCTCCTCTTCGTCGTCGTCCTCCTCTTCCTAAAGGACTGGAAAACACTGGGGCTGAAGAGGTTCTTCGGGCTGATTGGTTGTCCTGGACCGATTTCGCGGGCTATTTTGTTCCCCCAGCGCCCCCGACTTTTCGACGAGAAATGAAGCCGCTCAGACGAGGAGGAGAACCCTGGTCCTCCTGTTTTCCCTCCTCCTCCTCCTCCTCCTCCTCCTCCGCCTCCCCCTGCGCCTCCTCCTCCTTCTCCTCCTCGTCCTCGTCCTCCTCCGTTCCTTTTCCTTATACATGAGATTTCCCTGTCGCACCCCGAGGCTAGTTTTTATGGCGGGCCGAGCGTTTTGCTTAAGACTTATTCGCCATTTATGACGCTGAAGCTTAAACATTGGCAACAGCTTCACAGATGGAGGGCGGGTGGTTTTCAAAATGTGGCTTTCGCCTTAGCGCCGCACGCATTCGTTTAAAACAATGCAGGAGTTTCACGGATTGAGGGCGACTGGTTTTCAAAATGTGGCTCTCGCCGTAGCGCCGCACACATTCGGTTTTAAACAATTGCAAGAGTTTCGCAGATTGAGGGCGACTGGTTTTCAAAATGTGGCTCTCGCCTTAGCGCCGCACACATTCGGCTTTAAACAATTGCAAGAGTTTTGCAGATTGAGGGCAGTACCTGTTCAACATGTGGCTCTTGCCTTTGCGCCGCGCGCATTCATTTATACAAGTTGCAAGAGTTTCGCGGATTGAGGGCGACCAGTTTTCAACATGTGGCTCTCGCATTTGGCGCCGCGCACATTCGCTTTACACATTTGCAAGAGTTTCAAAGAGTAAAGGCGTTTCATTTTCAGAATGTGGCTTTTGCCTTAGCGCCGCGCACATTCGTTCATAACATTTACACGAGATTCACGGACTCCCATGATCAGCCGCGTACCAGACATGGTGTTTTGGAGAGATTCCGGACTCTGCGGGTGCAGCAGTTACGTTGGTTAAGTCCCAGGAGCGGCATTCTGGCACGATTCAGAATTGTCAAGGTGCAAATGTCAGGTTGATCCGTGGCGTTGGAATCCCGAAAATGATGTTTTGGCATGCTTCAGGGTCTTGAAGCAGTTGTCTTTCGACGAGGCAGTTCCCTCAGTGGATATGAACCGTTGTAGGAGCTTATGAAGAGGTAGTTCGGAGGGAGGGTTTCTTCTAACATCGTTGATGACTTTTGGGTTTGCACTGGTCCTCCTCCTCCTCCTCCTCCGCCTCCCCCTGCACCTCGTCCTCCTCTTCCTCTTCCTTCTCCCCTCCTCCTCCTCCTCTCCCCCTGCACCTCGTCCTCCTCGTCCTCGTCCTCCTCCTCCTCCTCTTCCTCCTCCTCCTCCTACAACCCAAGGGGGCTATTCGGACGCACCCCTATCGAGGATGGACACCCCCCATTGAATATCTCAGGGTTGGGCCTCAAATTTCTGGTCCATTCGAAGACCCCACGAAGCCTGGGATAGGGGTCGACATAACCCCCTGTCACTAACATCTGTTTTGTTTAAGCTGAACTAGTTTCAATCGGCGGCGAGCGAGGGGGGAAGTGAGAAGGAAAAGGCGTTCTCAGAAGACGGCGGGACTTCTCAGAAGCCTTCGCGCCTTCTGAGAAGTCTTTCGTGTCTTCGGGCGAGGCTTCCAACACTTTCCAGAAGACTGGAGGACTTCCGATCCTTCTGAGAAGGCCCGCCCCTTCTCACTTCCCCCCGAGCTCGCCGCCAAATCTGGGACAGGAGAAGACTGGGGCCAAACACGTTGTTTGGGCCAGATTTTTTGGTAGACCGAACATCTTTTTGTTGAGCTGAATTTGTTTTAAAGTGTTCCAGGGGCGATAGCAAATATCTGGGGCCGATAGAGTGTTCCAGGGGCGAGAAAAAGTTCTGGGGGCGAGAACAAGATCGGAGGCGAGAAAAACATCCGGGTCCGAGAAGAAGCTGTTTCAAAGTGTTCCGGAGGCGAGACACAGATCCGCAGCCGAACCTTCTTCCTGTCCGAGCAGAGCCCGCAGATCCGAGCGGCGCAACCAAACATATAGCTTGGGCAGGCTTGCAAGCTCTCCAGGCATACATATCATTCCCAGATGGCTCCTTGGAGAGCTAAACGGGCAGGGGCCGACCCAAACGGTGTTTGGGCGATTTCGTCGGCCGTTTTCGTTTCGATCGCGTTTTGCAGCAAAGGTGGACTGAAGACGAGGCAAAGGGAAAACGAAGATGAAACGAAAACGAAAAACACTGCTCAGGTCGATCCCTGCCAACAGGGCTGTCAGAGAAGACGCTGTCGTCGCCCTCGGCCTCCAGAGGCCCTTCGCCGGGCCGCCCCGGGCCCGTCCAAAGAACGGATCCCCGGGGCGAAGCAGCGGCGCGCGCCGGGATCAGGGTGGCGCACCCCCCCCGCCCGGGGAGGAGGAGGAGGAGGAGCAGGAGGAGGAGGAGGAGGAGGAGGAGGAGGACCAGTGGAAACCCAAGAGTCATCAACGATGTTGGAATAGATTCTCCATCCAAGCTCCCTCTTCATAGGCCCCTACAAGGGTTCATTTCCACAGGGAACTGCCTCGTTGGAAGACAACCGTTTGAAGACCCTGAAGCATGCTGAAACATCGTTCTCGGGATTCCAACGCCACGGATCAACCTGACCGTTGCGTCTTGACGATCCTGAATCGTGCAACAACCCGAATCAACGTAACTGTTGCACCTTCATAATCCGGAGTCTCTCCAAATAACCATTTCTGGTACGCTGATCATGGGAATCCGTGAAACTCTTGCAAATTTAGATAACGAATTCGCGCGGCGCTAAGGCGAGAGCCACATTTTGAAAGCTATTCGTTTGCAATCCGTGAATCTTTTGAAATTTGTATAACGAATGTGTGCGGCGCTAAGGCGAGAGCCATATTTTGAAAAGGAGCCTCCCTCAATCCGTGAAGCTCTTGCAAATGTTCATAACGAATGTGCGCGGCGCTAAGGCGAGAGCCACATTTTAAAAACTATTCGCCTTTTATCCGTGAAGCGCTTGCACATTTTAATAACCAATGTGCGCGGCGCTAAGGCGAGAGCCACATTTCGAAAACCACCCGCCCTCCATCCGTGAAGCTGTTGCCAATGTTTGAGCTTTAGGCTGCTAAATGGTGAGGAAGTCTCAGGCGAAACGCCCGGCCCGTCCTAAAACTGGCCTCGGGGTGCGACAGGGAGAAGTTCTTCAGAAGGAAAGGGGAGGAGTAGGAGGAGGAGGAGGAAGAGGAGGAGGAGGAGGAGGAGGAGGAGGAGGAGGGAGGAGGAGGAGGAGGAGGAGGAGAAGAGGAGGAGGAGGAGGAGGTGGCAGAGGACGAGGCGGAGGAGGAGGAGGAGGAGGAGGAGGAGGAGGAGGAGGAGGACGAGGCGGAGGCGGAGGCGGAGGCGGACGCGGAGGAGGAGGAGGAGGAGGAGGATGAGGAGGAGGAGGAGGAAGAGGATGAGGCCGACTGGGGGGCGGCGGGGCGGCCGGGCCTGCCAGCGCGAGGTGCGCGAGCGCGCCCGGCTCATCGGCGAGGAGCTCGCCCTCGCGCACAGGCAGGGGGAGGCTCGGGAGCGACATGGGTGGGGGTGGGGTCTACACTGGCATGGAGTACACACTCCGGATGGTGTAATAATCGGGGGAGGGGGGCGGGGACCCCCCCCCCCGATTATTACGGCATAGTATTCTATATTGCATAATACTCCGGGTGCATACTCCGGATGGCATAATACTCTGGGGGCCCATCCCCCCCGCATACTCCGGATGGCATAATACTCCGACGGAGCGTCCCCATCCCCCCCCCCCCACCGCCCTCAGCGTGCGTCCAAAATGCTCCCACTCCCCCCCCCCCCTACCTGGCCCAGGAACTCGAGCTTCAGACCTGCCATCCCCCCCCCCCACAGTCCCGCGCCGACGGCACGCGCCCCTTCACCCCCCCCAACCCAAGGGGGGGGGGGGGCGATTCTTCTGCCATCCGGAGTGGGGTGCGTGGATCAGCGACGGGGCCCCGTTTCCATGCGACAGCGGCGCGCACCGTCGCCGGCGTTTGCCCATCCGTGGGTCTTGCGCCCACGCACCAGATCCACGGATCCCTTAGCCCTCCCTGTCTTGCACAGCTTGGCCACAGCCCACCGCAGCTCTTGAACAGCCCTCACGCCGTTTGCATTCAGTGTCAGCTTTTCTTAAGAAATCATGATGACTTCCTCGAGATAACTCGAGCTGCAGATCAACTACAAAGCACTTTGGCACAACGAAAGAAAATCACCAACCCATGTCCCAGGAGCGAAAGAAGGACGTACACGTACACGACTCCACGCTAGTTTTGAGAGTACGCATGGCCCGAACGCTCGTATCGCGCGGCCAGTCTCGCGGATCGAGGGGCCGCGTTCGTGCACATAGCTGGGCGCGCACGTCCTCTGTGGGCTCCAGCGCGCGCCTGAACCGAAAGTCAAGTTCGCCTGGTGCCAGGCGGCCTGGGCTGCAGATCATGGGGGCCTCGGGTGTCCCCGAGATTCCGCCGTCCGAGCGCCGTGGCGTGCGCTGGCGTCTGGCAGTCGCTGAGAAAGCGCCGATGCAGCGTCGATTGGCGTCGATCAGCGTCGACTGGTGTCGACCGGCGTCGATCGGCTCCGGTCGGAGTCGACTCGCCAGAGCCAGTAAGACGGCATGGGAGGCTCCCATGAGCTGCCGCCGAAGCCGGTGCGTGAGCAGGGGATGAGCTTGACGAGTGCAGTGCGACAGAAATGCCTTCACCCGGGGTGGACAGACCTCCCACTCCCACCCTGACACGTCGATTACCGAATTGTCTGTTTTCGGTTCTCGAGGGGGCGCCGCGGCCGTCATTTTCCAGGCTTGCGCCCGCCAGGTTTGGGCCCGAGGTCGTTTTCACTAAACCACGCTTTACAGTTAGCGGCTTGAATAAGGAACACTTCCTTTTCAAAAGGGGCTTGGTCGTTCCTTAGATTTTGCATGCGTCATTTACAGTTCCTTATGCGTTATCTATTATTTATCGTTCCTTATGCGCTATTCCTTGGGATAAAAAGGGGCTCCGTTCCTAATTTATCGCTCCTTAGGTCAGGCCGATGACTGTACTCATTGGGGGTTCTGTCCATCCCTGCCTCAACCGTCCCGTCCATGCGTTCACAGCGCGCTCCCACGCTCGAGATCCACGGGGGGGGGGGGCCCAGGGCGAAGGAACTCCGGCGCTCGTGCCCAGGCTTCGCTGCCCCTCTCAACGGGCAGGTGCCTTGAGCAGCTGATGAAAAATCCTGACCAGGGCGGGGGGTCCGAACGATTCCGTGAGGCTCGAGCTTCTGATCTGGCAGCTCTCGAGGATGGTTTGTCCGACCTCGTGGCTTCGCAGCAGCTTGCCTCCGCCCTCGTCATCAGGGGTGTGTGTCGTGTCGGGTGCTGCTAGAGGTGCCCCTGGCCAAAGGTTCAGGAGGGAAAGAACACACAGACACAATTAATCGTCGACTTCCCAGAAAGTATGGGAAAATATGGGAAGTGGGGGGGACGACAGAAACCCAGAAAATATAGGAAAATATGGGGAATTCGGTCATTTGTGTCTATTCATTTGTGTGTCCCATGGCTCCTTCAAAGGTGCCCCCCAGGATTTCCAAAGAGGCGCCCATGGCCTCCAGAGCACCCTGGCGATGCCCCAGGGGGACCCAGGGGCTCCAACAGGGCACCTCGGGCCGGAAGCAAAAACTTAGCATCCCCCGACCATCCTCCAGCACCTCTGCAGCTCAGAGATCCCCGATTCGCCCCTGTCCGCTGCTGTCCTGGTCTTGGCCCCGTCTTTCTATATATAGGCCCTCCCAGATGGGGGCCGAGGATTCGAACGATTCGGGTCGGGGGATCGAGCTGCATCTCATCAAGGATGAACTCCGAGCTCTGACAACACGATGAAGACGTAGCCTCACCGAGGTCCCCGTCTCCGCACGAGAGATCATAATGCTGGCCGGTCCGGTTCGGTGCACCGGCAGAAACAAACAGATCCCCTACCCCTGAGGTTTTATGCCCTCCTAACTCAGGTCCCCTCCCACAGGGACAGGGGTCATTTTTTGGTCAATCGTCGTTCTCCAAATAGGCTTCCCCTATAGGAGTTCTAACTCAAACCCTACTACTTGGTCCGTTGCCCCCCCTTAATTCCTATGCCCCCCCTGATTCCTATGCCTATGCCTATGCCTCCCCCCTGACTCCTGTGCCTGCGCGCCTTGCGTCCTCCTCCCATCCCCCTCTCGTCCTCCTCCTGTCCCCCTGTTTATTTTGGAATCAGCGCTGGCCGATGTGGGAGTTTTTTGTTCAATGCCGTCTCAACCTGTTGGGGGCCCTGCGGCCTCCGCGCGCGAGATCGGCCCCGGGCCCAGGGCGTTCGGGCGGGGGGCACGGCGCGCGCCGGCCTGGCAGCGGGGCGGGCCGCTGGCCTGGCAGCCTCTTCGGAGCGTTCTCGCGGGGGCAGGAGGAGGAGGAGGGGGAGGAGGAGGAGGAGGAGGATGAGGAGGAGGATGAGGAGGAGGAGGAGGAGGAGGAGGAGGAGGAGGTGGCGGAGGAGGAGGAGGTGGCGGAGGAGGAGGAGGAGGAGGAGGAGGAGGACCAGTGGAAACCCAAGAGTCGTCAACGATGTTGGAATTAACCCTCCCTCCAAGCTCGCTCTTCATAGGCCCCCCGTGAAACTCTTGCAATTTTGTAGGATGAATGTGCGCGGCGCTAAGGCGAGAGCCATTTTGAAAGTGAGCCGTCCTCAATCCGTGAAGCTCTTGTAAGTTTTTTAAAACCGAATGTGCGCGGCGCTAAGGCGAGAGCCACATTTTGAGAACCACCCGCCCTCACTCCATGCAGCTCTCGCAATTTTTTGAAACGAATGTGCGCGGCGCTAAGGCGCGAGCCACATTTTGAAAACCACCCGCCCTCAATCCGTGAAGCTCTCGCAAATTTTTGAAACGAATGTGCGCGGCGCTAGGACGAGAGCCACATTTTGAGAACCACCCGCCCTCAATCCGTGAAGCTCTTGTAAGTTTTTTAAAATGTGTGCGGCGCTGAGGCGAGAGCCACATTGTGAAAACCACGCGCCCTCAATCCGTGAAGCGCTTGTAAGTTTTCAAAACGAATGTGCGCGGCGCTAAGGCGAGAACCACATTTTGAAAACCACCTTCCCTCAATCCGTGAAGTTCTTGCAATTTTTGAGACGAATGTGCGCGGCGCTAAGGCGAGAGCCACATTTTGCAAACCACCCGCCCTCCATCTTTGAAGCTATTGCCATTTTTAAAGCTACAGAGTCATACACGGTGAGGGCGTCTCAGGCGAAACGCCGGGCCCCCCCAAAAAACTGGCCTCAGGGTGCGACAGGGAGGAGTTATCTATAAGGAGAAGGAATGGAGGAGGAGGAGGAGGAGGAGGAGGAGGCGGAGGAGGAGGAGGAGGAGGAGGAGGATAAGGAGGAGGCGGAGGAGGAGGAGGAGGAGGCGGAGGAGGAGGAGGAGAGGAGGCAGGAGGAGGAGGAGGAGGAGGAGGAGGAGGAGGAGGGCGAAGCGAAAGTTCCGAGTCTCCTTTGGCGAGGCCGCGCGTGCTCCTCACAAGGGGGACTCGTGCCTCAGCTCCTCGGGCGAACGCTCCCGAGCCTCCTCGGCAAAACTTCTTAGCCCCCCTCGCTGACCCCCTCCTCCTCCTCCTCCTCTCCTCCTCCTCCTCCTCCTCCCCTTCCTCCTCCTCCTCTCCTCTCCTCCTCCTCCTCCTCCTCCTCCATTCCTTCTCCTCATAGATAACTCCTCCTCCTCCTCCTCCTCCTCCTCCTCCTCCTCCTCGGGCATCAAACTTTCGGAAGCCCATCGGGTCTCGAGCCCCGAGCGTCTCCCGCCTCTTCGGTCTCCGTGGGGCCGCTCTCGGGCCTCACCATTGGGGCTATCGGAAGCGGAGCTGGGACGCCACGCCGCCGCCCCTCCCCTGGGCAGGAGGAAAAGGAGGAGGAGGAGGAGGAGGAGGAGGTTGCGGAGGAGGAGGCGGAGGAGGAGGAGACGGAGGAGGAGAAGGAGGAGGCGTCGAAGGAGGAGGCGGAGGAGGAGGCGGAGGAGGAGGAGTCGGAGGAGGAGGAGGCGGAGGAGGAGGAGGCCCGCGTATTGAGAAGGTCGCTCCGTCGGATACGGCGAGCGAGTGCGATCACAGATCTCGGAGCCATTCGGTGATGGTGGGTCAGACTGGCGAGATCTGCCCCAGCAGCCCGGCTGGCTTCCCGAAGGTCTTGGGTGGAGCCGGTCCCATGACCGGTTCTTCATCGCGAGTCGTTTTTCGCCGACTGCACGTAAGAGTGATCCTTTGCCAGAGTGTTGCTTGGTGCGGGCTCATTGGGGTCCCCCCGATCGCTGAGCGCGATGCGACAGCGGCTGCTTGCGCGCTTGGATTTGGTTACCTTGCGCCCCCGAGTGCGCCAGAGAGAGCTGGCGCGATCGAGTGAAGGCTCAGCAGGTGGTGCAAGCGGCAATGGGTAAGTCAGAACCCTAGAGCGCCGCCCTGCTGAGCAGAGTCTTTAGTCTGACGACTGTTCCGCCACGGCGTGCTTCTTCTTC